TCATGTTCCTTCATGGTTATAGGCACCCGCAACCCGAACAATTCTACAGTTTCTAAAATATTTGGTAAATATATGAATATTTTTAAATTTAAATTATTCACTTTGATTTTATTAATAAATATATTTGTATTGCGTGTATAACGAATTATCTGTCTAAGATCACTTTTAGATTCTGACTGAAGCGAACGATATAATGGTTTTATAATGATGTTTGTATCTTATTTTTTTAACACTTTTTCGGATAAAAATACTGGTCCAAAAGTTTTTGCTAGGACCTTTTTTAGATTTTGAATTGGCATGCGGTGGTACTTTAGATAGGTCATTTTTTAAATTTTTAGAGTTTTTCCAGGCATGAAAAAAAAAATATATAAAAAAATTTATATATTTGTACAATAAAAACTCTGTTTTTCTATACATAACGAGTAATGCGAATTTTAATGTAAATTCATTTTAAACACATTTGGGGGTGCTGAGCACACCTAAGCCTCCCCCAAATTGCGCCTATGACGGTAATGCAACGACTCGGCACGTGTATTATCGGCCAAAAAGTCGACCGACAACAAATCGCAATGTTGTGTGTTGACATTTGGCGGTAGTAGGTTCGATATAACGTATTTTCGACGAATATTGTGTAAGAAATTCGTGAATTTGCAGAAAAAAAAACCGTCATCATAATATTACTATTACTGTTTTCGACCGTTGCAAGTTCGTCGCGCAGATTGTCTCCATTGTTGCGTCGCGAAATCGCTCAAGCGCAGCCGAGGTTCGAAACTTTAATTAAGAACCCAGATATATATTGTGTTGTTTGACTTTGCGCCGTTCGACCGTCTGTATTTTTTCCAAAACTATTTCAACATCCAATTGTTATATATATAATACCATTGTGTGCTCGTTTGTGCGAGTTACTTGCAGCGGCTAAAAGTTTCGAACCGTACCTACAAAATACGTTTGCGGGCGGAAGTATTCGTAATAGTTTTGTTCTTTGCGACTCGTCTCATTGCAAGTCGACTAACTCGCTATGCTTACCGACAAAACTTCGATAATTCACCACATCACCGTTTTCAGCCGTAATCGCGTTTCAATGTAGTCCTAGTTCGATACCGTTTTTACGGACAATACGCTCTGCACTTAAAATAACGTACAATATCGATCATTTGACATGGATGACAACATTGTTTTTAACGGCCCTCGGTCCGATTCGATTTTCTCCGTTAATCCGTTAAACACTCGTAATTATCAAAAATAAATGTGTGTAATACGTATATAAGAAACTTGTTTTTTTTTTTTTTCAATGTGTTCGATAACCGGCAGGTACAAAAATAAATGTCTACTAGTTGACATTATGTACTACCCCATATCGTACATCTGGCTTGAACGAGTTTACAACGAGGAAAATAGTTCCGTAAATAATTCAGATGATACTTATTTTGTTAGCGGAAATAATTTATTGTATTCGTTTTAAATTATGAATCGTCCAATCAATAATCCAACCGCAGATCGTAGATACCGCGGTATTGCCATTTATTATCAAGCTGTTTTATTTATATTGATAGGCACTCCGTGGAAAAGGAAACTGCACGTAGGTACCGATTTACATTACGTATATCGTTTCGATCATTGTCACTTAACCAGTATGTCTGGCGAACGAAAACGGTTTTTATTTTATTTCTATTTATAAACACCGGACTTGTGCGATTTATATGTAATTGCAAGTACGAATTGTTGAAAATTAAAAATTCACAACATTCATGTAGTGCGTCATAAATTTTAACACAAAACTCTCATTATAAGGTGATTAAATATAAAGTTACAGCTTAGAGCATCGGTATCTGTTCAGATGTCTTCTAATTAACGTTACACTAAAAAATGCAACATGCAATAATTGTGTAAATAATTGCTTTTTTTATAAAGCTACATATACATGCCTTGGAATTAAAAATAGTTTTACATCGTACCCATTCCGATGTGTTTTCCTAAAAGATTAATCATTTCGCGAAATCCAACGTTATAAATCATTCTGTGCACATCGAAGTGATCATGCGATTACTCGCCCAGTAATTTTTCTTTAATACATTTTTAATTGTTACCTTGTATTTCGACCGCAAAAAAATGCGCTGTACGTGGAACGTGACCACCGCAGTGTAAACATATATCATGTTAGATCCGTCAAAGATATTAATTTTAAGCGGCTTAAAAACTGAACAGTCGGATCGGTACGAATATTGCACTTCTCCTGGTGCTCAACGATACGATATACGATAGATACAAATTAACCGTATTCGAAACTTGCCAACTTGTTCAACTCGAAAACCATTGTTTCGTGCGATCGTCGTTTCCGAGGAACTCATTGGACGTAACACGTCTTGACCAGACAGTGTAAGGATTTCAAAATGTGCGGTTGAAAATTTTCAATAAAAACAAACGTTATGTTTGTACACTCAATAAATGATAAATAAAAATAATTCACAGACTTCTTGTCACTTTAATCGCTTTAGGTTTAACGTTTTGACGTTCGGTTTCTTCCTTAAAGATTCCACTAGAAACGGGACGTCCGGGTCCGGAGGAGAGAAAAGCAATTCTTATCGACTCGCGCGCCGGTTCTGTGTAGACTATGTCTGACAATTGCATTTTCGTCGGAATAAAAAAAAAAATCGAATCGCGCGTTACGGGCCGACGGTTTCCGAACGATGCGGCCGGCGTATGTATTCTCGAACCGAACGGGTCAGGATACAGTGGCGTAGCCAAGGGGGGGCTAAGGGGGCTATAGCGCCCCCATGGGCCGTGTTTATATGTATAATGTATCTTGATTATTTAATTGAATCAATGGATGTTCGTTTTAATCAAAGGATTATTGATGTTATGCCACTTGAAAGACTTATTCCGGCCAATTTAAATATGTATGACGATAAAAATATTATAAAAGCTGCTAAAATATATGTCCAAGATCTCCATGATAATACCTCATCTACAATCAGAGCTGACCTGTTCATATGGAGGCAACAATGAAGTCAAAATACTATTCCAAAACCGAATCCTGCTCTTGATTCACTCTCTCATCGCACCAATCTTCGATCTAATATTAAAATACTTTTAAAATTATTCGCCACGTTACCTCTTTCACTCCGGAAAGAACGTTTTCAACACTTAATCGCTTAAAATTTTTTTTAAGAAGCACCATGTCGGAAAACAGATTGAATGGGTTAGCTATAGCTTATATAAATAAAAAAGAGCAATTCAATGAAAGTGAAATAATAACTGAATTTTCCAGAAATTCGCCTAAGAGGATGCAGCTGTCAAAGTGGAGCAAGTGACAGAACACTGCAACCAAAATTATTATTATTATTATAAATTATATATTAATAAATATTTTTAAAACTATACTAAAATGCTTGAATTACGTTTGGAAACTTGGTGGTAGATGGTGGGGGGGGGGTTAAGGGTGAATTTTCATATCCTCTCTTACCTTACTTATCCAAAAAAGTGGTTAGCCCCCCCCCCACATTTAAAAATCCTTGCTACGCCACTGTCAGGATACACGTCGTCGACGGTTTTGGCGCTTTTTCTCAGACGTGTACTTGACGTAAGGAAACTAACGTGTTAACAGTGATAGTTATCAACGCATCCATTGAGTGGCGTAATTATGGGAGGCAAGGGGGAGGAAGTGCCCTCTTTGACAATTTTTTTGAGAGATTAAGACATAATTTTGCCCTCCTCCAGATAATCCAACAGTACAAAGAGCACCTTTTATTAATGAACTCTTACGGATATTATTTAACAATATTGTTACCTAGCACATGCTACCTACAATTTATGTTTATCTAAACCATAAAATGAGTTAAAAGATTTATGTAAAACTAAACAATTAGATATAGTGTATAAATTACATACAATAAAAATATGTTTTAACTGTTGAGGGGGAGGGGTGTCAGGGTTTTGGTAATAACAAATATATTATATTGCTTCCCCTACGTTTTTTCCCAGTTACGTTACTGCATCCATTAATTGATGTATTGCAATGAATGTATTCGTTTTATTGAAAAGTCTCCGTGCCAAGAAGTTTGATTTCCATCGATTGAACGCGAGACAAAAATTGCACAGACACGCGCGTAGTAGTGACGGGAGTTAAATGCGAATTCTCCAAAAATCCGACAAATAGGATTTCAAAATTCCGAAATTCAGGTTTACGGATTGCAGTATTCGAACTTCGGGCTTAACATTGCGGAATTCTGTTTTCAATAAAAAAAAATAATTTATCACCAAACATGTGTAGTTGTTAAAACTATATTTCCCAAGTCGTACATAAAATAATACTAATTCAATTTTTCAAAACCCGAAATTCGATTTTAGATCATGATATCTAGAGCATTAAATAATGTTCAGCCGTCGGCGGGAATAAATAACGAAGGAGCTAATCAGCAACAATTCATCTCTAGTTCGACTGAAAAACAAATATTTAAGAACTTTTAGCAAATCCAACCGCTTTCTCAGTACCAAGTGGGAAACAACTTTTTGAACCAACAATCGTCTACGACGGAACAAGTTCATAGGTAGAAATCGTTCAGAGAAAAATAAACTCTTCGTCCGAAAGCGTATAAATAGTTATATAATTAATTGATGTTAATATTCTTATATGATAATATTATCACAATATTACCGTGTACAACTTATATGTATGATTAAATTAATTTTCTATACAAATGCATCAAATGTTTTTTTTTTTATTATTATTATTTTTACCCGCGTTTCCAGTATTAACATTCGTGTTGGAAATTGTACTAAAAACCAACGATTTTTATATATTTTACTGGGACGTACAAGGAAATCGCAGAAATTGATGATTAATGTGTTTTCATTAGTGTTGGGACTATCTAGATAAAATTATTCAAATGATAATCTAGATAACGTCCAAATATATTTATTATAAAAATTTAAAATAGTATTGATGAATTGCAGATATTTTTATTATTTGCATAATATATCTATGAAATAAATTACAAATGTGAATAGTGACTATCATTTATTCAATAACAGTGTTATTTAACAATTCATTATTATAGTTAACAGTGATTAAATTATTACAAGTAGATATCGATAAGAAGTGAGATATTCTACCCTAAGGGGGTTGAATGATCACATAATGGGTTTAGCGATATTTTCAATTTGTATTGTTTTTATATGGTTTTGATGTTGATGGTCTTAAATGCTAACGGATCTTATTGTTGAGCAGAATAATCCAAACGCATACAATCGATGAATTTTAGTAATCCCGTTTAATCCGCTCGTGCCACACTGCTATTATACAATTGTAAATATTAGTACTTACAAAGAAATTTAACATATAAGGTGTAAAAAAATACTTTCAATTTTGAATTTGGGCCGCTTAACGTAAATCGTAATAGATAATGAGCGATTTTATAGGTTTGGTTAAGTATTATTTTCGTTTATAATAATCTATATAAACTTACTGGAGAAATCTACTGCTTTGATCGTACTTCTAGAATATTATTCTAGAATCGATTTGAAGCGACTCAAACACTCGTAAGCCGCATCTTCTTGACTCTCAAGTATCGTTTCACCGAAGCCAACGACCGTTAGTGCACAATGGTTTACCGTAAGTTGAATACCCGTAAAATCTTTTCCTGTAAGTATATGGATAATAATATTGTTTAATGTTACACTATGAACGTCTGTATGGAAATCGTACTAATCGTTAGTGAGCAACATTCGAAAAGTTCATAATCCAATATTAGCTCTTCTTCTCTGGCGATTTGATGCAAAAACAAAACATTCGATGGAACCGTAAGCATGTCTATTGTTTTAATTTCCTGTGACATAATAACAATTGTACACATAAATCACGTTTTACATTGTACGTATCACTCGTATGCCATGGTTACGATTAGATAAAACAAATGTAATTACCTTCAATTTACGCAAACCAGGATTATTTGATAGTCGAAATCTTTCGACGAGATCGGCGTCTACAGAAGCAAATAATGATTTATTGTCTTCATTGACGATAACCGATTCGTTTACAGATGACTCGTGATTTTCATTGCGATTAAGGCATTTTGAAATGACGATAGGACGACCATTATCGTGTTCTTTAAGTGACGCTGGGTGACTTAAGACCTCATTGCACGTTTTAAATGCTGAATCTTTGTTAATTTTTATGCATTCCGTTTCATCAGCTAAAGTAAATACTGGTGCGTCAACGACATCTGTGGTGTCCGGTTTCGAGTAGAATCCCGCAGACGTGAAAACACGTTCATCGCTGACTATCCCATTACCTCTGGGATTTATTTCAGAGACATATTTTGCCAAATCAACTTTACTACTGGTAAAATTTTTTATTTTGTGATACATTTCAGTAGCGACTTGTCGTTTGCCAATTTTTTTATGCACACCATTGACTTCAATCGGTAAAAATGAACATTAATAATTTATCGAACATCAACAGAAATGTTATTTCAATCACTTACCCCTGACAGTGAATGACAATACAGTACACACAACCGAGTATGTGAACGTCCTGCTATCACCTTCTTTAAAAAACTGATATTTCGGAAGTATCCAATCTCGAGACCTACACAGTTCTTGCAGGGCGCCTATCGGATCAGATTTGAAATATGCTTCTAATTTATTTTCTCTGAGTTTTTGTCTGAAAATAAACATAATATTACGTATTTTTTCTATTTAATATAATTTTGTTTTTTATTTTTTATACTTAGGATTTTTCCTAGTAGTATCGACGGTCTCTATTTGATCCTGTATTTGGACAGCAATTAACTTCTCATTGTGACCCGTGAGTGTATTAGTTACATTGCAGATATTTTCCTTAGTGGATGTAGAATTCGCACTGTCCATTAAATTTACTTCGTGATCTATCTGGGTAGTCCTTGTAATCGATACGCAATTCATATTATCCTGATTGTTTTCCTTTAATTCTTTGCTCAGTCGAAGTGGCTGGACTTGGTTGGCTTCTGTAGTTTTGTGGCCAATACTATCAATGGCGGTGGCTACAGACAGCTTTTCATCGAATTCAGCCAATTCGTGTATTTGACTTTGCTGAACATCAATCGCACCAGAGGTTTTTTTGATACCTTCATAAGAAAAAATTCTATTAAATAATATAAAGAAAAAACCTAAGAAATATGTGAAAAATGTCAGAACGACGTCGGCGATAGTAGTAGTAGTATTTTCATCTATTTCAGTAAATTCCTCGCAATAGTCGTTTTCTTTGTTTTCACTCTTATCAGCTTCATTCAATTCGCTGATATCACTTTCGTTTCCATCAAACGATACTCCTGGACAATTTATAAGTTCATCAATTAATTTTGACATCAAAAAATTATTTTCAGTAACAAATTATTTGATTTTTTTCTGCATTGACTTACTTTCTTTGGTTAATTTCTCTGATGAATTTTGAAGGCGATCAATATTTAATTTGTTAATCGAATTATCTGAAAAGAACGTTTGTTTGATATTGTTTTACCTTACAATGTACATTGATTTATAGATTTCGATAAATTATTTATTAAATCTATAATTGGTTATATACCTTCTAATTCTTTAACTCTACTTTGAAACTTTGAACACTTTTCTCTTAAATGGGACAACTCGTCGTCCTTGAACTTACTTTGAAATTGAAAATTAACTGCAAAAGAATATTATGCTATTATAATACATTAGAATTGGATATTATTTCTGTAATTTTAAGAGCTTTTAACAATCAGATACTTTTGATTTCGTTCATTTCTGACAATAATGTATTGATAGTCGCCTGCTGAACCTCGATTTTCACTTTAAGCTGAGCTATCATTTCACTATGATTCGAAATCATTGAATCCGGTTTAATCAATTGCGATTGATCTACAATGTTCAGAAGTCTATTTTCTCCTTTGCGTGTATTAGATTGAATGCAGTTATTATTCATCTTGAAATATATTAACTTACAAATTATAAAGTATATATATAAAATATACAAGTATAGTAGCTCTACGGTTATTATGATAATAAGAAATCGAACTGATTGAATATTATATCAAAGCGTTGAAATTCTAAGTCAAGATACCGTGATATTAAATTCAAAACTAAATGCGGTAAAGAAATAACAAAGCTGTATTGTTTACTAAACAAATTTTATAAATCATACTTGTTTATATTTTTATTTATTGTATTTCATTTGAACCAGTTAACAATTAGTTTTTATTTGATTTTTATTAAGTACAAAACTCTACGAAATGTCATAACACTACTTTATTCTTATATATTTCAACTAGCGAGTAATTAGTAAATAGTAAAATAATTGGATCAATTCTTTAACCCCAAATACAGATACTAATTTTTTTTTTGTTATAATAGCTTTGATTTTATCATTAGTCATTAAATATTACAAAAATGCTTTTTAATATCGTAACTATTCATTATATTTAACTTTTAATCGAAAATTGTATCGTATGTCTTTACAATTAGCATATTTTTTTGAAAATTATGAAATATTTATAAAATGTAATTTCTTTAATCTTATCGAATAATTCCTGAAAAGATAATTGGTGTTAGCAAGTTCGTAACACGAACTCAGTTAAATGTTTTCATAATTATTTCTCAGTTTTTTCAATTACTCAGGAAATGGTCAAAAATTAATAAAATATCTCGCTTCCTCTAAATATATTGGCCAGGTACCAGTTTTCGTATGCCTTTCATGACTGTTACGATTGGAGTAAATTTCTAATCGAAATCTTAAATATAGACATGAAAATAACCAGAAGGGCTTCTTTTTTGATTCACTGACAATATTGTTTAATTTTTTTAATGTATCAATCATATAAGTATTTAATATCATTCAATATTCATATAAAAATTAAAAAAAATATTTCAAAATTAATTTTACTCCACCTATCGTTCGTGTAAGTTTCCGATATCATCAGAAAGAAAATACGTTTCGCTTGGTGTTCTGACTGAATAAGTACAAATGTTATTAAAATAATATACCAACTAAAGAATAAAATAGATATTTTTTTTTGATTTCCTCTGTGGTTATCAGAATATTATTGTTCGCTGTTAAACATAATAATTATTATTTAATACAGTAAAAAAAAAAAAAAACTATTATGCGCATTGCATTATACAAAACTAGTGAAATATTTTATTTCAAAAGAAATAATATTAACGCTTAAGCTTCAGCGAACAATTTAGTACTAGTTTTAACTCAGTTTCGTTTTTTTGTAAATAATTTCGATAGATGGCGTTAGATTTATATTGTCCTATTCCTACGATTATAATAGGTTATGTATGCGACGCGTACAAGAACGGTGGCAGACAATATTATTATTACTGTTTTTGTTGAACATCAACACAGGTACCTACAACATTACGTTATAACCGTTTAAAATTGTCTCTTATACGTTATGGTAATGTATGGTTCGACAGTTGTTATTACGCGAACATTTTACTGTCGAACTGCCGAGACGGTAATTGTATTACTATTAGTACGTCAAAACTTGAGTTTATTCACGAGATTCCGAGGTTGTTGTTTGGTAAAAAAGAAAGAAAAACTAATCCTTTCTGTTCAACACAAAGTGTGAAATATTAACAGCAGCTGGTGTCACCGACAGTCGTTAAATCCTATCTAGATATGACTACCTACGGTATAAATCACGTTTTGAATGCGTAAAACGTAAAATGTATGTATCATAAAAATATTGTAAAGAGTGTAAGCCGATCTTTTATTTATCTATTTATTATATATTTTATCATTGTAAAAACATTATATGCTCACTGTTAGCATTTAGCAGCATTAATCAGTTCTCAAAACATGTTTATAATCATTTTATATCACTATTATTTTTTAATTCCGTAAAGGGTTAATCAACTAAATCATCTACTGTTAATAATAAATAAAAGCTTGTGTTAGAGGTCAGAAGTTGTATAGAGATTGGCTAATATAAGAACTTCTTGCCTCAAACACAAGCTTTTACTTATAGGAGGGAGCAAAATTTTTATGCTGTATGCTATCTACATTACGTTGTTGTAGTACATTGACGCACGTATACAATTGTAACATCGTTCACGTATGAACAATAAAGTTTTTCGATAAGGAATTTTTTTTTTTTTTTTTCAAAATCTTTCAGCGTCCGGTATCCTACACGCAACAATGTTGCACCGTCGCTGGTTACGAGTTCGCGATAAACCGAGTAAACGAGTGGTGCGCATTGGATATTATAACGCATCTCAGCGGTTCAGTCGTCGGGTTTGCGCGTACGGTGTACAACTCGTCGTGTACGATAGAGACTAATGTTTGCCGGTTAAACTGTTCTTTTCCGGTACGTTTCGCCGTGTCCGCGTGTCGATTACGTTTTATCGTTGCATCATTAACGCGGAACCGCCATGAACACCGTCACAGGCGGAACCCAATCTCACGGTATTTTCCACAAAATGTTAGATTATTCCATTCGAACGTTTGGAGCGCCTTAAACGGATCCCCGAGGATCCAAAGGACGTGCTGCGGAGCTGATCCCGTCGGGTGAGTTTGGCGTGTTCGCCGCAATGGTGTACGAAGTAGTGTATCCGCGAACGCTCGGGGTGACGCCTGAAGACATTTTCCGCGCGCGGTTGATTCGACAAGAGTTGTTTTTTTATTTGTTTTCCCGTTCGCGTACGTCGGTGGGGCGCGCGACGGGATCGATACAATTAACCGGTATCAATATTTTAATATTAATCCGCAGTACTGTTCCGACGGCGTGAAAAACGGCATGGAAAAATGTCAAGGTGTTCGACTTTTTATGACGAACGGAGAGGTGGAGGGGGGAGGGGCACTGCATATTATTTTGCGCCGTAGATCAAAGGCGGAAAAGGAATATTTAATGTTCGAGAGACGATAAAACATTAATGCGCATACAGACCGTATGTGTTCGATGATCGATGACCGAATACGGCGGGGGAAAAAAAAATCGCAACTCACTGCTGTAAGAAGTGTTGCCCTAGAAGAGCGCATAATATTATTCGCCAGTCTCTCGCGGCATCGTCACATTTCGACTGAGTAAGTGAAAAATTATTCTCGTACTAATGCAACACGGATACGTATATTTATTTATTGTTTTGATGCGTTTCACGTTAAAAAAAAAAAAAATAAAATAAATAACGAAATTCTTACTGCTTGTAAATCTATGTTTTTCCACAGTAATTTCGCGTATTATTACATCGCGTTGTTCGGTATTTATTATCGACATCGGCCATCCGGTACATTCACAAACATTTTCTTTGTTCTTCCGACGACCGGTCGCGTTATTGATCTCGTTGTCCAATCTTCTTTCCAAATCCAACTGCAACCATCTCATTGTGCCGCGATCGAAAACCGGTCGGACACGAGTACCAAGTACTCAGTGGCGCAAGTAAATTCGTTAGCGCCCCTGGCAAACTTAGAAAAAAAAATGCTTTTTTACCAATTGCAAATTTAACGCGATGATATATTTTTTTCAAAATAAACCTTTAACTTTAATAATTTTTCGAATCAAACAATTTATTTTTATTAGTTATCATTGATCGAGGTGTATATTTTGATCTTTTCGCTCTAAGATTAGTGAGTTCATCGATAATTTCTGCATATGGAAGTTTTCTATGCGAGTTCCTTTGCGCTATTTTCATAATTTCACTATGAAATTCCCACGTAGAGTGTACACATAGACAAAATTTATACATTTCGAAATGCGTAATGGAAAAATGGACTAGAGTTCGAATCTTGTGGGTGTTACATTATGAACCCGTAACAACTCAACATTACGTATATTTATATTATACCATTATCATATACAGAATACCGATATAAGGACAAATTTTAACGCGTTTATTTTTTTTTATTATTGTATTTGACTGTGTTATAATTTAAATCGTTAAATATAAATTCCTTTTTATCAATGTACGACCTCGGTTTTGAAATGAAAATTGATCATCAGGTACAAAGAAAGTTAATAAAATCGATTAAAATAACCTTTAGGGTAAAATACATTTTCTAGGCATAGGCAATTCCGTGATATTATTTGTTAAACGTACAAACTAAATCGCCATTATACGGTTGACTTGAAAATTGCCTTATACGTTCAATAAATAATATCACGAAAATACCTTACTTAATGTATTTCTGTAAAAGTAAACTGTTTATTTACGTACTCACATTTCATTTGGAACAATGGCACGGGGGTCCTTTTTATTCAGTCGTGAGCGGGGGGGTTATTTTTGGCGCACGCGATGATATCGTCTCGACATGCATACGGCGAACCAATGACACTTATATCTACGTTAGGGGTGGCGATAGGAAAGACGTTGGTCGTCGATCGACCGGAGGGGTTAGTCACCCTCCCGGTTGACCGCTGTAACCTAGACCCTTGTGACCGTAACGGGAAGCGCTTTCGGACGGGATGGTTGTCTCTGACCCGATGACGGTTGCAGGACGTAAGATTGGTGGCCAGACGCGGACGCCGTAGTCGATGTCCGCGGAAGACGCAACGGCGGCCGGAGCGGGTCGGGAGGCCGTGGACGACGACGCGACCGTGGCCGACCTGAGGCTGTTCAGGGCCATCGGGCTGTACCAGATGCTGAACCCGTCGGACAGGCGGTCGGGCGATAGGCTGCGGCTAGCGTACAGGGCGGGGGTGGCGCTGGCGTTCGCGCTGCAGTCGGTGCAGATCGTCGGGCTGTTCTTCACGCTCAACGACCTGCGGCGGTTCGCGTACATGACCGTGATGGTGTTCAACGGGCTGATGTGCGTGCTCAAGGGCCACGTGCTGGTGATGAAAGCGGACCAGCTGTGGGCCGTGTTGGACGTGGCCCGGTACCGGTACACGGTGTGCGGGGCGCGCGACCCGTCCGCGCTGCACCGGTGCCGGGCCACGCTGGCCGTGCTGCTGCGCACGTTCGCCGTGCTCAGCTTCAGCACGCTGATCATCTGGAGCACCATGCCGCTGTTCATGGACCCGTACGTGCCGATCACCAAGCCGGACGGCACCGTGGGCCAGTACCGCACCACCATCGACAACCTGTGGTTCCCGGCCATGACCGAGTCCGTGTACAACTACACGCCCGTCTGGGCGTTCATCTACTCCATGGAGGTATTCATATGCACGTTCAACGTCATCAGCTGGCTTCTGTTCGACAGCTGCATGGTCACCATGTGCTTCGTGCTCAACGCCCAGTTCCGCACCATGGCCGCCGGATACGAGTCGCTGGGCCGGCACCGCGACCGCCGCCGCATCCGGCTCCGAGCCCCGTCCACCAGCCCCGGCCGTACGTACACCAGGTCGTTCGGTCACGTTCGGCTGTTGAACGGATCGTTTTTACGTGCGAATAAATTCTTGTCGTTTTCTTGTCGACGGTTCGTTTCGGCGACCGACGAAAAATAATTAAAAAACCGTCGAGTTCACTGATGAGCGCTCCATATAAAACGCAATATGATAACAGGTCTGGATCGCAATCGTTTTTTTTTTTTTTTTTTTTTTTCTACTGGAGATCGAATACGATCACGAGTCGCGTAAAGAGCAAATCCAAAAACCGGGATTCGAACGCCCGGACACTCGGAAAATGCACGTATTCGGATTTCATGCCAGTGCCTAATGTGCGCGTTTTCCTCGTCCCGCCGCGAAAGGCGTACAGGTGGTAGGGTCAGGAACGGACGAGACGCTTAGGGGGTGAGAGCGAATGGACGACACGGAGTAGACGTGGCACTGAGCAGTGGACCAGTGGAATGGAACATGTGGAATGCTGCGGGGTAAGAACGAACCGGGTATGTGGACGAGGCGCGACATCGCGGAGTAAGTGTGAACGAATTACTTTGAGGAAGCGTTTGAAGCAATTGTAGGACAATTAGACTAACACTCATCTCGCGTGTACCCGCGCGTTTGCGTTGCACCGACACGGTAGACAATATACGAGTGTTATTGCTCTGCAACAGGTGTGCGTCTAACATTTAAACGTGACCAGCGCGACGACAACGAAACAACCGTCGACGCACCGGTATACCGGTGGAAAAATACCGCGGTATAACGACTTTTTTTTCACCGCTTCTGTTCGGCGATCGAACTGTCGTCGAGTGCTAACCTAACTTATATCTCACACGTTCCGCATATCGTATCCATTACCGGGCGCTCGAACAACCCGTTTGTACCACGCAACGGTGATTCCAACGATTAGCGTTCAGCCAAAACGATTTCGAACGTTTACCGTATTTTAAATATAATAATAATTCTCAAACGTGCATATATATTATTTTATAACACGACGTTCTCACGGTTTCCGCAGGTATTCGTCCTGCAGAAAATCGCGACACCGAATTGACTTTCATCGATGACTTAATCATTCACATAAACGACAATCAAAATATCATAAAGTGAGTGTACGCAACGTATCGCGTGATTTTATTATTAACGGTCGTGAAAAAAAAAAAAAAAATGAAAAAATAAAACGTTATAAAAGATGATAAATATAGGAAATAACTCGGTAATCACAATTTTCATTGGTGTCGCTTATGCCCAAACAAGGCGTTTCTACTTTTACAACATTTCTGTTCATAAATGTCACTTTTTAATGTGTTAATTATGTATAAATTAAATATTCCATTAGTCATTACTAAACGACTTGTTCCTTGTTCAAAGGCGTACTAAATATTCCGGGACACAACACAGGTGAACGTTTTCAAAAATAATTAAATATTTCGACATCGTCCTTCGTTGAACTATATAATTAAAAACGAAACATTTATCGAGGTGTAAGCCAACTTTATTTATTTATTTTTTTAACATTTACCGTGTTTTTAGTAAATTCGATGACTTCTTCAACATCGTTCAGCCGGTGGTTTTAGCCCAAATAGCCACTAGTTCGAACTCAGTAGTGGGTTTGATATTTCTCATCGCACTGGTAAGCGTTTTTTTTGGTTATTTTAAAATAATAATATTCTCTCGTCAAAAACCATTTTCAAAATGTGTATCTCGTTTCTTTACTTACCTTTTTACGAGTAGTTGTACGTCATGGGTTGGTCAATTGTATCAGCGCCGATTATGAAGTTCATGTCCGGCCTTGCATCGCTCTTGATCGAACTCTACATTTATTGTTACGCATTCAATTACATCGAAATTGCGGTAAAAGATAAAAATAAACATTCTCTCGTATATTTTATAGCGAAAACAATCACAAATGAAGGTTTTGTTGCTGTATCGCATGTTTTAAGATAAATCGTATACATTTTGTTCTTCAATAGAAATCTCAGGTGAATCTCGGACTGTACGGTAGTAACTGGACCGTTATGGATTTAAAGTTCAAGAAAACTTTGCTTCTGGCCATGAACATGAATTCATCCCATAATCGAATGATGAAAGTATCACCGACCTCCATTATAAATCTGGAAATGTTTTCTAGGGTGAGTATTTCGTAGCCACGTTCTTCACATAAATATATAATATACAATACGCGATGCGCAACGTACATGTGCATTAACGTTTTGCATAAATGTATAACAACTTCGTCCAAAGCCTTATTCGTTGTCAATGCAGTCGAATACGTAAAATAATCCTTGGGACTTATTTACATTCACAAGCCCTTTGGGCGAAAAAAAAAAGCGCTTAGGCGTCAAGAGTGTGTTACGTATAAATAAATAAAACAAAGCAATCGAATGAATCAAGTCGAGAAACTGTACACGTGTACTAATGTCGGAATTCTCGTTGAAAATAATGAGAAAAAAAACAATATACATATATAGGTATATAAATTCATTTTAAATATTAAACACCTATTGAAAAAATAAAAAGTGAATTAGACATCACGAATTTAAAAAATACCTGAGAAAATATGCTGAAAAAACTGAACCGGTAGTGAATAAAATATTTAACATTTTCAAACGCTACGTATTATTTCGAAGAAGCGATGGAATAAAGCAGGACTTAGAAAAACTAAGTATACTAAATTGAGAAGAAAAAGTATAAAATCGGGAAGAGTAGAGAGATGAGTCGGTGGCGACAAAAAGTCTTAAAAAATCGTAATGCGAATGAGAGAGAGAGAGAGAGAAAGAGAGAGATATGTATTACTTTGACCTTTTAGTATCTTATTTTTGTTTAAAATTACTTAAACTACTATTTAGGTAAATAAATATTACAGTGTTTATTGTTATAGGATAAAATAAAATATTGTTAAAATATATGAAACAATAACTATTGGAAAAGTGAAAAAATGTATTAAATTAATGAGTCTTACGATTGTTTTCAGGTGATGAACATGTCATATTCGATAGTGTCCATTTTACTGAACTCCAGCGCACCGGACACGTGAATATTTTATTCGATTAACAAGTAGAACGCGATGGATGAAAATTGACTAAACACGTCTAGCCGATTTTCAATAATCGAGAATAATATTGTACTGTACACTTTGGTCGCCTTTGTAAGAAGAGCGAACACGTGCACTTGACTAGAATATTTAAACATACACCTAATAGTTATAGTTGTGAAAAATGTACCACTAACCTAATCGGAATTAAAAAAATTAGATTAAGGAAAATTTTATTATTTCCAACGTGCGTCGTTTCGATAAACTTACCCGTAAAACGTGGACAATTTTACCTGTTTATAGGCAGGCGGTTTTTCATTGTTTTTTTTTTTAGAATTTTATTTGTTAAGTCGATTTTCGCACGTACTTTTACTCATAAAGAATAACTGTGTCTCAACGGGCACGGGTGACGTAGGGAACGATAATCTATTCCCAATCTGATACTATCATCGCAAGGGATTTCCGGAAGCATCTTCGATGAACGAAATTGTGATTTGCAGGCCTAACTTATGCTGGTCCATGCCTATACGTACATACAAGATAATATATTTTTCATTTTATTCAATATACATATCCTTATCCATTCCATCTTGTTAACCACAAATGTTCTCTAAATATTATATACCTTTCGAACCGTATGCTTTTAAACGATCAATACGGGTATAATATATTCGAGACAGACATAATACGAGCGGCGTTGTGTGCCGCAATGAAAACCGGAAGGATTTGAAAAAACAAAAATAAAAAATAAACATTAAAAATCAATAGAATTAAATGGTCAACCGTATTCTGTCTTTAGAAGTTAACTATGGCTAAACCATGTTCTGGAACCCTTAAAACTCCCTTTCCCTCCATTCCACTTTGTTTGGGTGGCAGTAAAATCAAGTTTTTTAGTGAGTTTAAATAAAATTATTATTATGTATTTAGTATTATATCGGTGCATTTTTTGGACAGGTTTTTTTTCTCGTTTCAAGAACATAATAGTTATAATTTTCAGCTTGGCGTCCGTTTCTTTCCGGCACCCTGGTGGCCCATAGCTCTCGCCGGCCCTTTGGTCCTGTCACACGTATAGCTTATATTATACGCTGTACGTGTGACGGAATAAACGTATCTAATATACGCAACAACACCCGTGCAACACGTTAGCCGTCTTTACGGTTACATTTGGCGGAAAGTCGCGTTTTGTGGTGACGTACGTTCAAACGTTCGCCGCCAAGAGGCAGAGTAATAATTAGTATTAATAATTACAACGATTATTATTCGTCACCAAGTCTGGTCTTGAAAACCGCGATACCTAATGAAACCGCGTCGGTCTACTACACCGGTGTCCGGTCCCCGACAAACGGACGAATGCAACACTAAGTCCGCCCGTTCACTACGGTGCACCTTGCGGTATACTGCAGCTGGTACGGGACCCACGGGTATCTTTTATCTCGGTTCATCTGCGGTCGGGCAGTGTTACCGTTTGACGAAATATCCCAGTGTCGATCTCGATTCACAATACGTTCCCGTACAGCAACACGCATTTTTCGCTAACCATCGTCGAACTGTTAAAGTTTTTTAGCCGTGGTCTGAAAGCATGCATGTACAACACACACGATTAGCTCGGGCGATTCTTACCGTTCGCACTTGATAAGTTTTAAAACGGTTAACGAGATCATTTGTGAGGTTATTGTATCTTTGCAATGATTTTAATTTTATTGTTCACTTTTTCCCCTTTTAGATGAACTCTATTATATAATAAATTTTTTTTTTTTTTCAAAATTCAAATCCAAATAATTATTGTTCGAGAACGTTTTAACGCGCATTCGCTGTCGACTAATAGTGAATGTACCTATTTGAAACGGTCTACTAAAAGTTCATTTGCGAACAACATTCTTGGTGCACATTATTTTTCGAAGGCGAGCGCGATGAAACCAATCCAATCCTGATGTACGATTCACTGTACACAATATTTAAATCGAAATACGAGCTAGTGGACGGGGCACCGCATATCGTTGGGCAGTTGAAAAGTTTCCCATACTAATACGATTAAAGAAATGAATTACGATCGGATAACAGTGGCAGGAGTGCGTGAATTTATGTAGTCGAGCAAACTTTGATAAAGTTTCGATAAAAATCGTTCAAACTCTACATCTATTAGATATTTTACGTCTACTGCCGTTGTGTTTCGACTCTTAAACGTAATTATAACTTTTCGTTTTCAGTTATTATTTATGAATTCAAATTTTCGAGTTTTCAAATAAAAATGTTTTTGATTGAAGATTATTGGCTTGTAAAAAAAAAAAAAAATCATTTTATACGACATTTTTTTTTTATGCAATGTTACAATTTAAAATGATAAGAAAACTGATGAAAATAAATAGATAAATGAAAATAACAATGATAAAATTAAAAATAAAATTACAGATTAGACGGATTGTAGAAGCCTCCCAGAGAAAGTATACGGCATGATAAAATTATTATTATTATTATTATTATTTATTTAGATTAATAGATTAATAGGTCATTACACCACAGTATTTTAAGTATTTTGTTATGGTTGCCTGGAATAGTGACAGACGGTAATTCGAATATTAAGTGGTTTTTATGATAAGGTAAGTGGCTGTCGAAACGTTTATAGTGGATTTTGACTATTTCAGAGACGTATCGAATTTTCAGATCAAAGTGGAGAGTGTGGTTTAAAACATGTACCTAATGAGGGGCTTTAGTAATTATCCGTAGAGTTTCAGATTGGACTCTTTGGATGGTGTTGATATTGGAAATTTTGGTTAATATGGGTATTAGTAGCAGTTTGTAGTGCAGGAGTTTCATGAGATTAGAGGTTAAAAGTGGCTGAAAAGGTCGAAAACGGTAATTAAGCTTTAGGGTATTGTTAATTAAGTGTTGATTGCCAGGTGAGTCTGCGGTCCATAAGAATACCTAGGTATCGTATACACCAGGCAGGGGGAAGTGATTGGTTATTGAAGAAAGGGATTGGGCGTATTTCGCGGCGAAAGGTGAAGGTACAACGAATGCATTCGGTTCCATTCATTTTAACTATTCATGTTTTGTACCAAGTTTCAAAGGTGTTTAGATGGTTTCGCATGTAAGAGGAGACAAGACAAGAGACAACAGTCCTGCGGCGCAATTTTAGTTTCGGTACAGACGACGTTTTATTATATCCGACTTGTTGTCTTAAAAAACATTATTTCCAAACAGTGAAATGGTGTTCAAAAAGTTATTTTAACGACAACTAAAGTTCCTGTAGATTGGATTCTGATGTTGTTGTAACGGTGTTCAGACACATACCATAAACTCATATTTTATTATTATTTTTTTTTAAGTATTTATTTAATCCAAAATCTATGTTTTTTTAAAAATATAGTTGTTAAAAATTATTCGTGTTACAAGGCAATGGGTGTGTTATATTAAATTATACAATCAATATGAAATTGGAATAATTTAAAAATTCCGCAAACCTGCGTTTAGGATGAAATTAATGATGAATGATCGTATCGTTAATACTTGTAACCAATGGCCATAGAGAGGATGTCCCTCACATTTTAGATCATCGATGTAAGTAGTAAATATATGTAGGCGTTCTTTATTCCTCCTTGTATTTTGAAATCCTTTGACCGCTTTCTGCTTACATAATTTTTATACTTATATCGTAATTTTCATTCGTAATCACAACGCGTTGTTGATGTGTTTACTTCTAGCAGAAAGCGAAACATAATAAGTGAAATATATTAAAAGCATAATTTAAGTTGTTACGAGTTTCATTTCCGTTGTACTGAATAATTAATTACTATTGTCTGTGAAATTATATATCATTTGAATACGTGTCTTTTTGTCAGAAGTTTCACCTTTGATATAAGGTTAGAAAAATACGCCGTGGTGGCGTTTTCTTTTCGTTTACAGCTACAGTTGCGGAATATACCACTACATATATTATTTTACGCGCGGTGAAAAGAACATTTTTCAGTATATTTTTCTCATTTAACGTTAATTTCAACACACGCTTATATTTTTTCTTCTCCGTCGCATCTCGACGTATGATAATGGACGCGTGGTGTGCGTTGTAAGGTTTTGATGTCTGAGTGTTTTCTACGCAACGGAACTTTAAACGCCTGCAACGTTTCACATAGTTTAATATACGTACGCGATATTTCCGATATCATTATTAATATTATTATTTAAACGTGCGGTAAATAATTTAAATTCGTAACATGTAGGTGTTCTCTTTATACAACTGCCATATTATTCGTTTGTACACTAATCTTTTATTTTCGAACGATTTAACCTTATGAACAATAACGTTGTGCACTTGTTGATTTCAAATAATATTTTCTTAAAAAAAAAAAAAACATAGAATTCAATTCGAAATCCATTTGAAATAGTTACACGGGTAGAACGTGGCTTCTCATATATATATATTTTAAATTTTCGCTTAGCGATATCGGTTATTATTATATATTATTAATTATTATATTATTATATTATTATATCGTAATTGCCATACAGCGATCGAATCACGAGGCGACCACTGAATCGGGCGTTTATAAAAAACGGTCGAAAACAATCAAACATCAATCCGGATCACCGAGGCCGGAGGGGACGGTCAACCCTTTCTCTCACCGACGATACACATACACACTCGGAAAGTTGGAGTGTGTAACACCGAAGGGATTCGTTATCGCGATCGTTTTCGGTCGGCGACCGCGGCTGTAAACAAATGCGAGCACAATATGATTATTAAATGGCGTATTCGTACGAGAACCCGTCACACGTCATTTACCGTCTCGCAGTCGCGCGCTTACGTATTATATTTGATGGTTTTACGGTCAGGAAAACCGGGTGAATTTTCGCTTACGCGTTGTGATCCCCCGCTCGTGTGTCCGCCGTCCGCCGGCGAGTCGACGACGCGAAATCGAAACGTCGCGACACTAGCGAACAGCATATGCAAATATATACGCGGTGCGATATTTTAGTGGCAGGGGGCGGCGGGTCTCGACCAACCCTCCAGAAGAAAAAAAGTTTCAACATTCATAAACTACTCGCTGCGAATGATATCATTAGTTTACTCGTTTATCATGTGCACGTAAATAACTAAAACAAATACCCTGAGCCAGTATGCGTCGAACAACGGAACGGATTCACGTTTCGATTGGCTGCCTGCACATAAATGACATGACTGATCGGTGACTTTACCCGCCCG